TTGCTCAAATGGAAACCATAGGAATTGAACTCATGTTTCATAATTTTAAGGGGTTGACTTTAAATAAGTTTTGTCGAGGGTTTTACGGAAATTTCCTCTCGTGATATGATCATCATTAAATTTTAAAAGTTCAAATATATATTTATTGACATTATTTAAATTTTTTCAAATAATTAAATTATGTATATGCATGATTTATTAGGATATTTCTTGACAAATTTTGTATGATTTCTTTCATATGTCTAATGTTGAGTTATTAATTCTAAATATTTTAATTTTGAAATAATGTAATGAAAATCAACATTAAAAATAATGTAAAGAAAAATTAAATATTGAAACTTAATAAGTCAAGTATGTTTAGACTTTATTTAAACATTGGTTTGTATTTATTATTTATACTTAACAAAATTATTTGACATTGATCTAATAGAATTGACATTGTAGAAGATTTGTTTTATCCGTGCAACGCACGTGGCTTAATTCTATTGGATCTAAATCCAAGCTGTCTTTTTTTTTTTTTTTTGAGCAAACAAATAATTACTAGAATCTGCTGCTATACACAAATACACTCACACTTAACTTACATTGAAGGTAGGACAATATTTCATTGCAATTGCATAGCTTGGTATGCAATATAATGACGAAGAAAATGCAGATGGACAAAGTAAAAGCAGTCATTACTTCCCCGTGTCTCTTCACCTGTTCTGGTTTCTCAGTTCCTTCTTCATGGCGGCGATATATTTAGTGATCAGTTTCCTTTTCAAAGAGCACATTAATCTTCTACAAGAACTGGTATCTGGGGGAATTTTCCTTCCTATGTTCGTATTCATGGCCTTTTATTGTCTTGACCACACAGGTCGATTTGCAGCTTGTTGTAAAAGTAGCATCATGGAATTATGCCTAGCAGATCATACCCCCAAGATTTCTGTTGAAATGGTCCGACACCAATATGATGAAGACAACGAACTGATTGAAATCGCAGGGTTGATCACGGCTTCAGTTGTGACATGGACCTCGAGTTTTGTGGTTCTCTTAATCTGTATAAAAGGCAAAAGTCAAACGGACTTGGTGGGTTATTGGCACGATAGGACTGGACTGGTGTTGGTACTCGTTGATCTTGTTGTTTATAGTGTTTTCTTAGCCTGCGGCGTTCTTACGTTTTCAATTACAGTGATACTATATTATCGGTTTTTTGTATCTGTAATCATTCAGTATTGTCGCGGCTCAAAGTCAAAGGTTGCTTCACCAACTTCTGTTCAAAGTGAGCAACCTTGAATTATAGGATATATTTGTAATAGCAGATGTTTAGCTCCTTGCTGTTACATTCTCTGCAAATCATGCTATATTGATAATGCAGAACGTTGAAGACCAGAAAGCACCATTGCGAAGGCACCATCGTAGTCAACCCAAAAGAACTTGTCAGCTTGAGGTTGGAACCCAATCATTGGCTAGAAGATTGGGTTAACCAAACTGGCCCACATAATTGAACTAAAGTTATTTCAAATTTAAAACCTCAAGAATAAATAAAATGAAAAATATTTTGATCAACAATTAAGGATTGAATATCAGAAAAACATACGACACGCCTTGACATTGATATGAACACGTTCTGAGATACAGACCAACCACCATACATATATAATAATTAAAGTTCACCCAAATGTGAAATCAAATAAGCAAGGAAAAGAACCAAAGCGTGAAGTACAAGTAAGCTACTCATCAGTGAGATAGACATTGAAATGCAGGATGGTGTCTACTCCGTCCGTGGTGTGCATGTCCTCCTTTGGAAGCGTTTCAAGAGCAGCATATCCCATTGCATTCTCATACTTACCCGTACCGCCGATCACGGCGATCTCCGATCCCGGCGATGCAGTCCGGTGAACGCCGAAGAAGCTTATGGTATCCTCGACACCGTGATGTTGCTCACCACTGTGTAATATAACTGTGAGCACGAGGGTTTGGCTAGTACCGTCCAAGGAGCTAGCCAAGTAGAAGCCTTCTGCTTTACCAATCACAGTAGAATCTAGCTCGTGCCCTTCGGTCAACTGGTCGTCGATCACCGTCACCGACCCAAACATGAGCTTCTGGAGGGTGAACCCGGCTGGAAGGTTACCGGCGGAGACAAAAGGCTGGTTGTCGCCGCCGGTAACTGTGCTACCGGTGCCTCTGTTTTGGAACACAGTGGAGGCTTGAGCGGCGTTGAGGCCTACGAGGAGTGGGAGGTTGTTGTTGGTGACAATGCCGTTGAGCTTGGGGTTGACTAACGGGATTCCTCCGACAATGGGGAAGAGGTTGTTGTTGATCTTGGAAAACGGCAGGCCGGTGACGTCCGTGTTGGCAACGATCCCGGCCACCACTCTGGCTGACGGGTGTGACCCGCCAATGATGTCGTGCATGAAGAAAGAAAGGGTCGGTTCTTTTCCGGCTGGACTCGCAGTTGCCGCCCCGTTGCTGCCGGCGACTGGGGCTCCTGCCACCGGGACGACGGTTGGAGTTACCGCTTCTGGCTCTGGGTGTTCTGGATTTTCTTCTGCACTTTCATCACCTGAAAATATTAATTAAGAATTTTTCAAATCTTAACAATATTATATTCTTCTTTTGGCCGCCATTAAAACAATATCTTAAAAAGGATTCGGAAATCAACTTTTTTCATGTAATACTCAAAAAGCTTGAATATCAAATTTTTGAAAGGAAACGTCTGCAAGGAACCTTCTAATCATGAAGTTCTTTTGAAATTTTGAAAACAAAATATATCTATAAGTTTCAAGTACGGATGAAATTGGGTTGGTTTGAGTGGATGGATTCCAAATCCTTTTAAAAATGTCATTTAATTGATTCATATCGTATAACATTTTACCTGCAGCCGGTGCAGCGGAGCTCACAGCAGCAGCAGCATTGTTGTTATCATCATCTGCGCCATCATCAGTTTCCACCTTCGTGGGGGTGGTGGCGATGGGCGTCGCTGCCTCATTGGTGGCGGCAACAGGTGCACCTGCTACTGGTGTTTCCTCCGGAGTGTCGTGGGGAACCGGGATGGCAGGGGCGGCGGCGGCGGTAGCCGGAATTTGGGTGCCTGGCAAAGTGGTTGTTGCAGTAGAAGTAGGACCAGTTGTGACTGTAGGATGGGCCAGTCCTGGTTGATTGTTAATGACTTGTGGTTGTGGATCAACTTCATCAAGGACCCTAGCAGAGTTGACAGTATTAAACACAGTGACTAGAAACAAGAGGCAATTGATGAGCTTGAAAATGTCGAGTTTCCCCATTTTTCAGAGAAGGCTCTGTGAGTGAAAGCGAGAGAGAGTACTTCTGGTTCAATGCTTCAATTGTAGGATGTTGATGAAGCAGACTTTCTTCTTGTGTATTTATACATGCACGTAGAACAGGAGGGTCTCTGATATTTCTATTTAGTTTAACTTGAATTGATGAAGTTGTTAGCATATTTAGTAGAGGAAAAAAGCAATATGGAGTGGTTGGATTTCGATGTTGTTCCTTTAGCTTGGAAGGTGTTTTAGTTGAAATAACAACTCGCACTTGTTGGTCACCACAAGAACTGCTTCATCAAATTATATGAAGTGATAAAGTGTGATACAAGGCAGGTCAACTGTACATTTAGTTACGAGGCAGTATAATTGAGATGGAAAATTAATTGAGGCTGGAAGGGTTTGATTTCAGAGCCCAACGTGGATCATATCACTAACAAAACTTTATTTTCTATTGAAACGATCATGGATAATGGATTAGATTCTTCTCTGCACGTGGTCTCTTGTTGAGAAGTTTATGCGAACGGACTTGAAAACCATTGTCTCTTCCTTTCTGCACTGAATACATTTTGTTCAGGAGATATTCTCTATGTCACGTTTTCAGATTTTGCTTGTTTTCTTCTACGGGGATTTTCCTCTATTGTTATGAGCTTATGGTATCAGACTTTTTCTGTTTTCTTTGGGAAGAATTCCCGGTATATTTATTTAGTATCACATGCATAATGTTATGCATGTAACAGGGGTCAATTACCCTTCCAATTTTTCCCCCAAAAAATGGTGACTGTGAAAATTAATTATGCTTTTAGGTGCGTGCAATATGGTTCTATCTTGATTAACTTTTTGCAGTTACCTAGCACTGCAACGAAATAAATGCAGAGAGGTTAAACCGACTTTACACCTTGGGTCATCAAGTTTAGTTCAGGGTCACTGATCGATTTCTTGTCATGAGGATTTTAGTGAGTCAATGGGGTTGAAGGCTGGTTTGATTATATCTCTGATTTTGAATGTATTACAAGCTTATTTAGTGTCAAATGCATCGTCTTCGAGACCAGAGTCTCCCCATACATACAGGACAGAATATTTTGATTCTACCGTGACATCATTGGAGTTCATTTTGTCTACCCTTTTAATATAATCTTATCCAAGGAAGAAGTGCATTTAAGATTTGGTGGTCCAAAATTTTGTCTGAAATTCAATTTGATCCTGTACTGATACGTAATGTCGTTTTCTTCCAATAGATATGAAAATACAACTTCATTAATTCTTTACTTTAGCCCCTGTATTTTTATTCCCTTTTCCTGTCAACTATTTGCAGAATCATGCTGTTCATGTCGCAGAAGTTTTGTTCACTCTTGTTGCAATTTTCATTGATATATCCACAGAATAAAAGAGAGGGATAGTATTGAAAATCTGAGAAAATTCATCGAAAATGTCAATATTAATTGATGTCACTTGACACAAACACACAAACTTCAAGTTATTTGAATAATTCAAGTATGGAGAACCAAAGTTAAATAAAGTTAACAGTATAGGAAAATAATTGTAGGTAGGAATATATTTGTTATTAGTTAGTATGATATCCATTACTGCAAACAAGATTATACATCTCAGTACTCGAGAGGAAAACAAGCTTGACTATAGGCTGCTTCAAATAAGGTACACATGGAAGGAAAGAAACTTAGTACTGGTGACTTGTCCTTGTTCTTGTTTACTAAAGCCTACACGTTCCACAACTTTAACAGAAGCATAGCCATTAGCATCCTCGTACTTGCCAGTACCACCAATAACAGCAACATGCGACTCAAGAACATCACTCCTCTGCTCTCCATAAAGTCTCAACCCATCTTCCTCTTCAAAATTTACAGTCAAGGCCATCATATAACTAGTCCCGTCCTCGGACCTACCCACGTACACTCCTTCTGCTTTCCCAAACTTGTCTAAACCATCATCATCCACCTCTCGCAGTAATTCCTGTTCTACCAACGTTATTTTCCCCAGTTGCAAGTCTTGGAGCGTGGTTTTCGTGGGAAATAAGAATCCCAACGATGAAAGATCCAGAGTTAGGTTTTGGTCCCGTGGAGATTCTGATTCTGGGATTTCCGTAGTAGTTGGAGAAGTTTCTAGAGGTTCTGAGAAGGGAAAATCATTGGTTGATGAAGGCCGAGAAAGAGCAGTGTCGAGGATGTGTGGGATTAAGAATGTGAACTTGTGAAGATGGCTATGGCTGAGGTTGATGTTTTGGGCTGGAATATTATTAGTTAGGGTTCTAGTACAAGAAGATTGATCGATGAAGGAAGCCATGAAGGAAAGAAAGATGGCTATGGTGGCCTCAAGAGAAGGAAGCTTAGACATTTTGTGAATAAGCTTCTTCATTCTGCTATTTTGTGTGCCTGCTCTGTATATATTATTTCTTTAATTTTTTTGATAAACCGCTCTGCTTTTATAATACGCTAATTAGGAGAATAAAAAATGGGGGCAAATGGGCTTAGGTAGTCGTGTTGTGGGGTTGTTAATTGAAGCGCTCTTACAATATCTACTTTTTTTTTCAAAAAAATATTGTTCCTTCTTTAAGTAAATTTTTTTCAGAAAAAGCTTTTTTATTATTTTATTAATATAATTTATATTATATCGACAGTTTAAACAATGGCATTTACTTAAAAATTACAACGCCGATTTTGTTTCAAAAAATAACTAGTAAAGTACCTATGTAAATACTAAAATTTCTATAAACTAGTGTTAATTTTGTAGGAAGATCTTTCTCAAAAGAATAACTTTTATCATACTATCTCTAATGTTTCATATCATCCTATACGTAATGGAGCTATGTAATTATCATTTTTAATGTTCAATATGCATAATAAAGTTAAGTAAATTTAAAAACTAAATAAATATGATGTGAATGAATACGGTAAGAAGCAAATTAACAAAAATTTATAATTAATTAGATTAAATTATTAAAGATTTCCATATAAATAACATTAAAAGTTCTATCTATGAATTGATCATCCTTATTAAGAACTAATATTTATAAACCCTTTATAAACACATGATTGGCCTTGTGTGAAAACAGAACAAGAAAAGTACAAATCGACATTACACACACTCTAGCCTTAACTCTTATTAATGATCATTACAAATGCTAACACAATAGAAAATTACCTCCTTCTCATGATAAATGGAAACTTGAAATTGGTTGGATACAAAGTAACACGAGGTATAAATGCTTTCATCTTTGTAGTTGACTCAAACATTTCTTGGGCCTCAATAACATGTTTTCCAATTCATTTAATTATGAAACACATACCATTGCACAATCCCATAGATTTAAAATGTCTTGCATTAAAATAATTGGGACACCAACTTTTAGCCTTATTTCATGATTCGAAAGGCTTGACATTGTAATTAAATTTAGAAAATCTATAGAATGCAAATTATCAAGTGAATTCATGTGCCCAACATCTTTCATAAGACTATCAAAACTCAAGTATACAACTTACTCTCTAAAGATCATGGACAATATATACTTATTTACTTCTTCAACCACAATCAACGTAGGGGCTAAGATAGTTTTATCTCTAAAATATAAAGAATTATAGACATTGTTAAAAAAATCCAAAAAAGTCAAATTAATAATAGACTCTATTGGATTATCTGAATCATCTAGTAACAAATTATTTGAGATATTAATATCCACAGATCCTCCATTAACTTTAACAGCAATCCCATCATCAATTGAGATAATTTAATTAGTAAAATCCCGAATAGCATTGTTAGATACCATATTCTTTATTGCCATAAATCTCATGTTTCTTGTTAGCATAGGAAGTTGACAGTTATTATAAATGGACAAAGAGTTAATGACAGCAAAAACAATGCCTTCTCTGGATCCTCTTGGAATAACAGGAAGGATCTACTTGAAGTTTTCACCAAACACAACAACTTTTCCTCCAAATGGAAAATTAGCAACTAATAGGTTACTAAACTTTAAAATATCTTTTAAGCATTTGTCAAGAGCTTCAAAACAAAACTTGTGTGCCATTAGAGCCTTGTCTCATATAATCAATGACATGTGAACTAATAATTCAGTCAAGTTACGTCCTTATTTTATGCTACATATGATGTCTTATCTCACAAAAAGCAGAATACAAAATTGTGAGTGAGCTATCTGTCCTTCCAGAAGAAATGAAGAAGCTATTACACTTGATGCTACATTGAGAATAATTTTACCTCTAGATCATAATGAAGCAACAATGTCCTCTAAACATACATCTTTCCAGTGCCATCATATCCATAGAGGAAAAAAGCTCTTCCTTTATTAGATGCAACAGTACTAATAATTTTATTATAAATTGTCCTTTGCTTAGGAGTTAATGTCTAAAGCAACTTTGTCAAGTCAATAGACAATACAACTTTATCATAATCTAGTTTGTTTCTTAGTAGTTTATTCTCACTTTCCAAGCTTGGCATGTCAGGTAAAGGCATAGGCTCATAATCCATGAGACTTTTTCCATTAGATTGAAGTATTTTCACAATATCAATCAATGTAAAGCTAAACAAATCAGCCTCATCTAGTTGCAATCTTGTGAAAAGAATGTTGTTACATTAATCAGTAGTGTTGTCTGATAATTTATATAAATTCTATCAATGTTATTAAATTGCAGAAAAAATTAAAGAAGGCAAATGTAATTACTGCATACTGTAGTATTCAATAATATTTATTTGCATGTGCACAATGTCATCTGATAAGAGACTCATGTACTATCCTATACAATCTTTGGTTGAAAGAAAGAATTACAAATAAGAGTAGTGTAGAACAATCTTTTTAGAAATTGTCCAAATGCTCACTGGCTTGCTTCTCTAATGTTATCAATATATTTCTTGTCATCATCTAATAACACAAATGCATAACATTCATCTCTAAAAGTAGGGTAGACAACTTCATCAATAGTGCATATACTCTCACACAAAGTGCGGCCTTTGACTATGATTAGCAAGATGTGCAAATAATACAATTCACCACTACTTGGAGGGGTATAGTGCAATCTTTCGATTGAAAAACCCTACTTCCTAGGTTGCCACTAAAACATAAAAATTTCTTATAAACAAATTTGGTTGGGAATTCAAGATATGTTAAGCCATCAGCTTCATTATCATCCTCATCATTAACATTGAACCATGCCTCAAGTATTATAGTCTATCCTACATTGCAATTAACAGCTAAATCTATATGTTTTTTGTTGTTTAATTATTCATTCCTTACTCTTCCACTCATTTTGTTCTAGCATTTTTGTCCTTCTAGCACACCACTATTAGTGAAGGGATGAGTTTTGGATATCATGAGGATATTGGTTTTTTACTGATATATACGCATGTTTTTGTTTTCCAAAATGAAAGCAAAGTGCTCTTGAAAAAAGAAAACATATACATGGTATTGTGATTGAGTTTGTAGCAATACCAAATGAAAGGATTTAAGAAGAGAAAGAGTTTTTATTGATTTTTCTTCTCTTTCCTCATCTTATTTTTACTTCTTTTTTATTTTTTTTTCCTTTAATTTCTTACTCAAAGATAATAAAATTTTATTGTTGTTGTTGTAACATTTTATAACATTTTAATGAGTTATAATTATGTAAAACAAATATTTAGATTGATGTATTTTGATATTATTAATATTCTAAGTAACTACAATAAGTCAAAACAAATTACCTAAAGTACATTTTTTTTGGTATTGTTGAACTCTCAAATCTTAAATCATTGCAGTATGCTAATAACTGATTTTTTTAGTACCACCTCTGTCAAATTTAGTACCTCATCTGCAAAGGCCCTCCATAGAGTACAACTCACCTTATTTTTCTTATAATGATAAGAACAATATTAAATTAATTTTTGTCATAGACACTAAAAATTAAAACCAAAAAATAAGGATTCAAATAATATTAATTGATGAAATTTGTGTCATATTATTCTACATCTTCTAGACTTATTTTTGTCCATTTTTTCCATCCTTAATGGGCCCTCCAACTCTCCAATTCTATATAACCTTCCAATCACATTTGTCAAAAAAAAAAAGTAGACCATTTAATCACACCTATTAAAAAAGAAGTGGACCATTTAAGATTGACATAGATAAAAATAGATTATTTAAACTTGTCCTGTTAAATAATTACTTTAGTTACTAAAGTAATTATTAAATAAAATTATCTAATTAGATATCCAATTACTTTAGTATATTTGATTGGCAAGTCGAACATATTAAACAAACACTTTATTATTTTTAAAAACTTGTCATATTAAATGCAATTATCTTTACTTTCTTTTCCAATTAACTTAAACTAATTCCATACATTAAATAAAATATTCAAGAATTTATTATATAAAATAAAATTATTTAATATATGTGCACAAACTTTATATATTAAATAATATTAGACAGTTCATAGTTAAAGTTTTCAAATAGATAAGAAAAAACTAAAATGAGATATTATCTTAAATGTGCTAAATAGAGTTTTTGAAGAATAAATTCAAAAAGTCTAAATACATACCAACTAAGTAATTATCATTCATTGCCTTTTTATCTACAATACCTAGAGTATTAACAAAATTAAATCCAAAATGATGAATGGAACCCATCTCAAGACACAACTTCACAATATTAAAGAACACAAAATTAATCTTGTAAGGATCATTCGTTATCCTATACAATTCAAAGTGCTAGGTGACCTCGAAGTTTAAAATTTTATATATTTTAATGATAGAGTTAAAAAACGGGCAGGCCCAGCCTATATGGGCTCGGGCCTTATGAGCCCAACCTTTAAGGGCTCAGACCCGTAAGCTCAAATTTTTTTTAAAATGCCTCATTTTTTAAAATACGGCTCTTATATAAAGGGCTTAAGGCCAAGTTCCTAAGTCCTTATTATTATTTTTTATTTTTTAAAATTTTTAAAAATTAAATTTTTAAATTATAATATTTCATATATTTTTTAAAAATATAAATTATAATGTTTAAAAATTAAAAATAAATAATAAAAATTTTAATTTTAAAGTATAAACATATATTCTAAAGTTTAAATTCAATTTAAAAATAAAAAATATTTTATTTTTTAAGGAAAAAATAAAAACGAGCCTAAAATGACCACCCGAGCCTGAACCTATTTTTTCAAGGCCTATTAAGGCTGGGCTTAAAAGCTTGATTTTCTTAAAAATATCATTTTTTTAAGCCCAAACCCTTATAAAAATGGATTTAAACGAACAACCCTCCAAGCCTGACCCTTATTCCCGACTCTATTTAAAGGGATATAACCTATTTTCAAAATGTCTCATAAAAGACTTTTAAGTGATTGCAAAGATCCATCACCCTATAGCAATGTTGTCCTATAGATATT